TTACATTAGAACACTGTTAGATAATTTGTTTATTTAAAGTATGTTTGTAATGGCAATCAAATTATTAATCAATTTTATTGATTTCCGTTATTATTACGCAATTACTCCTTTGCAAATTGTACCTAACAACTAATTACGAAGTTTTCGTCCTTTATTTGTTATTTAAATTAGAATAACTATTGGAACTTTGTAATTTGTTTATTAGTAAGATTATTCGTGTTCCTAATTGGAGTATCGAATAATAAATCGATACCAAGTAATTTTTATGCAACACAAATTTTTGCAGACTGTACCTAATGGCGGCCATTTACCGAGTTCCCGACGTTTATGTTTATTTGGATTTTAAATTAGAACACCTGTTGGACCTGCAACAAAGTGCGGACGGTCCTGATAATTTGTTTATTTAATGTTAATTCTACCCCGCGTTAACAAATTTGTATAGGAACGTAACGGTGTTAATGAAGCCTTTTGAGTTCAAACCGTTTGAACTGGACGATATTGGTGACAGAATCGTGAATACTTTGGGTTGTGTATTTTAGATAGAATACTGTTTAAAATTTATATTCATTTTTATATAGGTATTTATAATTGATAAACGGGATTTATTAATACACTTGTTTTATTTGGTTATGCATTATTTTGTACTGTACTGGATAGGTTTGTTTCTATTTTTTATGCAGCTTAGAATTGCAAACATACTGACGGCCCACCTGATAGAAAGTGGTAACCATCGCCTGTAGACATGAGCAGTACCATGGACCTAATATGTACATGCATACGTTCAAACAAATTGCGTTTAATGTAAAACGTGTATAAACGCAATAAGACGCATTTATTTTATTCAATAGAGCGGAATTAAAAACAATCTTTTCAAGATAACATTTTGTATTTTGTTAAACGTTAATGACGGATCTACAATATAACATGAATTTAGGCTTGTATTATAATAAATAACTACAAATAATTCCTTTACAATCTAGAAAGGATTTACCTAAATTATTACTGCCTAATAATATGCAAACCTTTACTCGAGTTTACTTGAGTTCGTTTAATAATTTTATAAAGGCTCGATTAATCTATATACCTACTATACAATTCTTACTTTATGTATATATACATATATTGAGTAAGTAGTAAAAGTAATGGAATTTAGAAAAACATAGTCTACCTTTTGTATTAATCAACGAACGTATCTCAATCATACGAACAAAGTCGCGGCTAAAAGCTAGTCTCTCTACACAAGCAATAAATGGAAGGACAGAAATTACATTACTCTTCCGCAAAAGAAGAAAAATCATCTGAAAATATTATGTAACGAAACAGTCGCCGTTTTAAATTGTGCTTTATGATACAAAAATAAGAGATGTTTTATGAGAATCCTTTGGTAGATTTCCTTAATTTGTAGATGGAATTGATTCTGACAACTTATGTTTTATAAATTTATATCTACTGATTTCTATTCTCTGATTTTCAGATGTGAGCAGATATGATGTAATCAGTGAATTCTATAAGCATTCAGTCTACGTTCTGTACGTATGCATTTGATCAATAAATTTTCTTAAATATGTAGCTACTATTTATCTGAAATCGCATTGCTTAATACCCGAATATAAATCATAAATTTTCCGAGTGGTCCCGACATGGAATAGGCCACCCTTTTTCTTTCCCGTGGGTATCGTAAGAGGAGACTAAAGGAGGATGAGGGATGGGCAGCAGTGTCCCTCTTAAAACATTATCCAAAGCTATTATCCAAACTGCGGTTACTAATTCGCCTGCCAAGCGTGGCAACTACTAGTAAACCCCCCAAGGGAAAGGCTTACGTACAGCAGTGGACAGTTAAAGGCTGATACGATGATGATGATGATGATGAAATTATATATAATCTATTTTTTATACAACTTAGAATAGTAAACAATTTATTAAACATTTTAATAGAACCGAATGAAAACTTACCAATCAAGTATTATCCAAATATCCATAATGCACTCTTTAAATGAGATATTCAGTCAATTAATTGATTTTTGATCGAACTTCAGCTTATGCTCTGGACAATTATTTGCTTACAGTTTCATTAAGTTACATAGAAACAAACCACATGTAGTTAACATTGTCGGCGTTCAATCGACGTAACACGTAATAGCTATTTACTTATACCTAGATTAAACAAGCTGAATGAACGAAATTGCTTGTAAATTTAAACGAACTATTGAAACAGAATGCTGGACAACAATAACGGTACTTATTGTTGAATAACAATGAAAGAAGTTAAAACATTTTAATGGATTGATTTAAATATCGAATTGGATTAAATAGGATAAAAGCAATAAGTACCTAGTTAGGAATTGAAAAATGTTATTTGTGTAATTAATTTATCAACCGAGTTTAAAAAGAAGAACGTTCTCAAATCGGTTATATTTTTTGTATGGTATTTTCGGTTGTATATTTATTAACTGCGTCAGTCATAAACCGTGTTGGAAAATTCTTTTTTATCTGAAAGAATATACTTACAGATAGGTCCCAAAAACGTCATAAGAATAGATTTAGTAGTTTAGTTTTTAAATCAAAATAGTTTTGACACAATTGAAGTCGATTTTTTTATAGAATACATTCTTAAATTATTTAATCTACGATTCCTAGCAAATGAGCAAGTTGCGAATGATTTTTTTTTCTATATTCTAATAAAAAGGTAAGCGTAAAATATCTATTCTTATTGATTTTTCTATTGATTGTGTTTCTTCGTAGGCATATGTGTAATCCATGAAAACAGCAAATTAAAATCTTATTCAATTTAGTGTAGTTTCATTTGACATCATTGCAAACCCGATATGCTAGTCAGAATCTTGCACAAGACATTAAAATACAGATTAGATATTCGTATATCGATAATTTAATATCTAAATATAGATATTTAATAATTTTATCTCATTTTCTATGACATATACAGATATTCAACTCAAAAGGAAAAAGACCTGTATGCATCTGGACGTTACCTTTTACTCCGTAGCTTTTATGGAAAATAAATTTAGATTTATCTGCGTACAATGTATTTCTAACACATTTTTATCAACCTTCTTTCAAAAGTCTTCTCCATTCGAATATATTTTTTTTAAATCAATTTACATTATTCTTTTTCAAACGACATATCAATTATTATAGTTCCATTTGTGTACTCATTTTTGTAATAAAATTCTGTATTTATGCAAGATTTCATAGATGAAAATCAACGAGTTCAAGAAAGATTTTGGAAAAATATTCATCACCATCATTATAATCAGTCTACTGTCGTCAACACAGAATGCCATTAATATACCTAAAATATAGTTAATAAATAACTATATATTTTTATATAACTATATTTTTTATATCGGTGATGTATTTCGCCTTTACTTTTTTTATTCAATTGTAAGAAATACAACTTATCCGCTTGTTTTTATAAGTCATTATTTCTAATAGCCCACTCATTGTTTTTGGAACCATCTTAGAAGCTCAGTACTTTCATGTTTTATGCGAGTTAATGTAATTATTTCATTAAAATATACTTAAATTAAATAATTACATTTCATCTAAATAATTAAGTTAACTTTTTGACACCGTTTTTTGAAGATTTATTCATAAAGGTCTAATTCAAAAACTGGTGTGTCTTAATACGTTATTTAGTAGGTCATTATTACATGACATTTTGTTACTATTTCATTGATCTACTATTAAAATCCACGCATAAGTAGTAATGTAGACACTAGTAAAAGACTATAGAGTAAATAAGCCAAATATATCAAAAAGGAACTAATTTTAACTTTAAAAAAAAAAAGAAAATTAGTGTCTATTTTTGTTTTAGCCGTGTGGTCTCGGTATAGAGTAGACCACTACTTTCTTTAAGGCGGAACTTAATGACTGAGAGTTAGGCAGTAGCGTCTTTTAAAACATCACCAAAGCCACTGTGGTTGTTAACCCGCCTGCCAAGCGTGGTAACTCCTAGCAAAACTCTCCAACAGGGAGAAGCCTATGTTCAGCAATGAGCAATTAGTGGCTGATAAGATGATGACGATACCTTTCATCATCATCAAATCAGCCGATGATAACCTCACTCATAAAATTATAACTAGAATACAACATAATAATAATACCCGAACGCATGTCTAGACGCTGCACAAATTGATACTGTCCGATAATCCGACAAATGTCATATCAATTTATCGACCGACAAAGACATTATTATATATAGTGATATGCCACATATGTATATCAGTGGGACACATTCCTCTTCACGACAGACTTAAAATGTACTTTGCAATAGGAAATAGGTCAATTGGAATGAAAAGATGAAAGGACTTTCAGCACAAATGTGTTTAATATCTAGAGAAAAATATGTAGTTTTGAACATACTACTTTATGGAATCGGTGAAAAATAAATATAGTTTTAAGCGGTTTCAACAATATGAACGTTTGCTTCTTTTGCTGGTTAGTTTAGAAATCGAGTGTAGAAGAAGGTTAAATAAAATGAAATAGCGTATATAGGTGGGCCGTGGACGTGGGACATATTTTTTTTTATTGGCTGAAAATGGTATGGTACCCGCCCGTGCTAACGGGATACGCTGGCGGAGCACCAGTGAAGGGTGATCGATGAGAATGAAAACAGGCCAGTTAGCTTATCATGATGAATTCACCAGGAATTAGCCATGATAGTTTCCAGGGGGAACCGCGTGGAGGTTGACCTGGTTAGGTATATTGCTAGCAATGGGATTTTTGGTCTCCATTACTAACAATGCCTTTCCTCCCGTGGGGCACATATTATATACGTGTATATATATATATATATATATATATATATATATATATATATATATATATATATATATATACATATATATATATATGTATATATACATATATATATTTTTTCTTTTTTTAAATAAAATTTCAGAATTAAAAAAAAAGAGAGTATCTTCTTACTTACTTTATCTTTATACTTCCTATCTTACTAATTTAATAAAAGATCATACCTTTTAAGAGCCACGCTCCTTATAATAATCTCGAAGCAATTCTAGAACAAAGAAGAAAATACTTTTATTACACAAAATGAAATATGAAATTACTACATAGAGTACATGATGGGACATTCTTTCACAGAGATAATATTTAGTATGGATTTGACGGTATAAAAATAAAATATTATTATCTATCATTACAATTTTGTGTACATTGTCTATATACATATATAATGGGAAATTAATGAACTCATCTCCAACAACGCCCCCACCTCCGTACGCACCGACGTCATCACGGGTATGCGAGCTGCGGCCCACAATGCGTGACAAGACGCTGTGACGCAAAGCGCCGTACACCCCCTGAAGAAGACTTTCGGATGAATTCGATACAATTGTTGGAAGTGGCAAAACGCAATGTGTTTGTTCATTTCTCTTTATATATGCATATGGACATAGTATAAAAAAATAACATAAACTTATGTACATTAATTTGAGCTTCTATCCCTGAAGAATTTAGGCTAGAAGATTTTTTCCATGCTTCTATCTAGTTATATTTAAAACTTTTTATTGTGATACTTAGATTGACAAATATGCTCACGGTCCGACTCACAAAGCAATAATAATTGGTATCTAGAGATGTGAACAGTACTGTGGTCATCACAGAACTATTGGAATGGATTGCCATTCCTGAGGACGACGATGTTATAGCTTCGTACTTTGTAATTTTGTGCCAAACACAAACTTCAAACTAAAACATCACCATGTAATCGTAGCTGCTTCACGGCAGAAATAGGGGTTTCTTAAAGATACCATTTGGATGACTTGTAAAAGATCTCCCTCTAGTCAATATGCTAGTTTTAACCGCAACTTCATCTTCGTGATTTTTTTTTTTTTTTTTTTTTTACAACACAGGGGGCAAACGAGCGTGCGGCTCACCTGATGGTAAGTGACTACCGCCGCCCATGATCACCCACAACACCAGCGGCATTGCAGGTGTGCTGCCGGCCTTTTAAAAAGGAATATACTCTTTTCTTGAAGGTTATGTTGTCGTATCGGTTCGGAAATACTGCTGCTGGAAGTTGATTCCAAAGAATGGTTGTGCGTGGAAGAAAGTGCCTTGAAAAACGCACGGTGGAAGACCGCCACTCGTCCAGATGATTGGGATGAAACTTTAGTTTGTGGCGGGTTGTACGGTGGTGAAAATCAGCAGCAGGTATCAATCCGAACAATTCCTCAGAACACTCCCCATGATAAATTCGGTAGAAGATGCACAGAGACGCAACATCTCTGCGCAGTTTCAATGGGTCAAGTCGGACAGTAAGGCGTTGACTATCGATAATTCGAGCCGCCCGACTTTGAATGCGGTCTAACGGAAGGAGTTGGTACTGTGGCGCTCCTGCCCACAGGTGAGAACAGTATTCCATATGCGGCCTGACTTGGGCTTTATATAATTTCAGGCGGTGTTCTGGCATGAAATATCGTCTCACCCTATTGAGCACTCCTAACTTTTTGGAAGCTATCTTAGCCTTCTCCTCCAGATGACCGCAAAACTGGACGTCGCAAGATATATCAACGCCCAGAATTCCTAGACTTGACTTTTTATCAAGGGAAGTGCCCTGAAAGTGAGGAGATACGACAAACGGCGTCTTTTTTGCGGTAAACGCGCAGACTTGTGTCTTTTTGGGGTTAAATTGGACAAGATTTTGTTCACCCCAGATCGAAACTTGATGGAGTGAAGTTTCGATTTCAGACACAAGTCTATTCCGGCACTCATCGGTATGTGCCCGCGAGATCTTTGCATGACCGGTATATAATGTATCTCCTGTACTGTCGTCCGCATAGCAATGAATATTACTTATCTGTAACATATCATTGATATGCAGAAGAAACAGAGTCGGAGATAGTACACAGCCTTGCGGGACACCAGCATTCAAAGGTTTTAAATCAGAGCATGCACCGTCGACTACGACCTTAATGCTACGTTCCTTGAGAAAACTGGCGACCCAAATGCACAGTCTCGCAGGCAACCCAAATGAAGGTAGCTTTGAAAGCAGCGCTCTATGCCACACCCGATCAAAGGCCTTCGCAATATCCAGACTAACTGCTAAGGCCTCTCCCTTACTCTCGATTGCCACTGCCCATCGGTGTGTTAAGTAAGCTAAAAGATCACCGGCCGAACGTCCCCGTCGAAAGCCATACTGGCGATCACAGATCAGCCGGTGCTCTTCTAGGTACCGGAGCAGTTGACGGTTAATGATGGATTCCATAACCTTCGAGAATAAGGAAGTAATAGCTATGGGCCTATAGTTAGCTGGATCTGAGCGATCTCCCTTTTTAGGGATCGGATGCACCAGAGCAGTCTTCCAAAACTTTGGGACTATGCCCGATGAGTAGCTAAGCCGAAAAAGACGCGTAAGAACCGGAGCCAACTCTGGTGCGCACGTCCTAAGCACAATTGGAGGAATACCATCAGGCCCACTCGACTTATGGATTTCGAGAGAGAAAAGTGATTAATGTATTATTGATTAATTAGGACGAAGAAGTCTGTCCTTTTCCATCTTAAATATGTACTCGTATACTAACATTATAATCGATCGGTTGAGCAATTAAACCGCTGAGAAACAGCAAATAAACAAATGTATTCCTTGACTTTGCCTGCGTGATTTAGTATATAAAATCTATGTGGTAAGTTAAGATATATCTTGCCCCTGTTCTAAATTTCATTCAGCTTTTTTAAAGTTTTAAAAGTAATAGATAATATTATAATATATAATCCATTTGTTGTTACAAATTTTCGAATTCATAATATTAACAGGATATTAGTAAAGAAATATTTTTCATTTAAGTGTAATTGTACATAAACGCATACAGCTAAACGACAATACCCCACTTTCTTTGACAGTCAGGTAAAAACCTAACTCGTCGTAACTCAACGTCATCCGATACTTTATACTTTGTACTGTTACAAGTTAGTGAAAAGAGGCCACATTAGATAGGGTCATTTATCAAGTGGACAGACCATCCCCCGCGGCTCTTAGCGCCATCCGCAATGACAAATGTTCCGGTCAGGTAAAAACCACTATGTTACTAAATTTCACTTAACCGTTTCCTGATGCGGACGGAGATCGTTAAACGGAGCGCCGCGAAATTTGACGTTTTTGAGTTATGACTTTTGACGTTGTGAATTGCGACCTACCATATTTGAGTGCGGCTGCTACGTTTGGCATTAGTTATGGAGCTAAAATTTCACTTAAACGTTTCTTGACGCAACCCTCCGCGGTATTTTAAGTTTTTGAATTATAACTTTTGACGTCGTGGCCCATTTAGGAATACGCGTGAACGTGGAAAATGGCAGCTGCGCAATCATCATAAAATGAATATGGAATATTATGGGATATAAAATAATAATAACCTTTTGATAATATTGCGTAACATTAAAAAAAATATATATACAAATCCCAGAATCTTCTTTTAAAATAACTTCGAAATTCAAAACACTTGAATCATTAATAAAAGTAATATATCAAAAGAATATAAATAAAATGAATAAATAATAATTTCCTAAATTGAATTCGACCGAAAATCGAACCTAGCAACCGCATTTAGGTTATGTGCGTACATGCGTTACGAAGGTCATCAGAAATATACCACAAAAAAAAATACGTGAGATATTGACATTTTATAAAGAATGTCAGGCCGGTAAAAAAATAAATAAAAAAAAAGCGAGAAATCCTAAATTGAGTGGCACGTCCCGGTGAAAGGTTCGACATGCGTAAAGTGATTTATGTGGCCGCGGATAGGGTTATCTGCAAGCCCTTTATCCATTCCACGTCAGTCAAAAGGGGTATCTGATTTTCACTGGACTCTTTAAATTTCAGAACTTTGCGGATCTATTAGATGTATTTTATCTCAAATTTATAATAAATCTCTATATCTTCGTTCCTTTTTTAAAATTGTTAAGTACGGCCATATAAATAGGATCTATTTTATGTGCATATGATATCTGACATTTAAAATTTATAATATATCCGTTCCATTTTTGAAATTATGAAATAGCTTCCGAATTTAAACACCGATAGCTTTGTCCTATTATAAAATAATATATTTTAGAACGTATAGCACGATATGGTAGTCAGAGATATTTGTCGACAATTACCGCTGTGGGGAACGGCATGCCCATATTTAGCATAACATATCTTTAAGACATAAAAAATCCATGTCATGATGTTTGTTCCCGCTAACCTCCAAAAACGCTTAACCGATTTCAATGAAATTTTGTAAATATATATTGCTTGTTCAGACTTGAGGTATATGATAGTTTTTATCCCGTAAAGGAAAAATAAACCTGTCAGTTGGTTAATAACTGCTTCACGACATAAATACTAGTGGGACAGATGTACCCAAGCCGATGACTAATGTACAAAGTCTCTCTCTATTAAAAACTGACTACGTATTCAACTTATTTAATCTAAAAAACTTTGCATTGCTAGTAAACAAACAATCGTTAAATTTAATACACTGAGTAAAGCAATAAAGGTGTGAGTCACCTTAAAACATTATTATTTTGACTTTATCTATCCCTGAAATTACAGTGAATCCCTCTCAATGCAAAATACATATAAAGTGTACGTGTTTATTTCTTAAAGTAATTTAATACTTAATTAATTAATTTAGGCCTATCAAATTGCTTCTCTCCGTCCAAATAAGCTTGATAGAGGTTGCTTTTAGCTTAATATATGGCTTCCCGTTATGCTTGTTTCTACCATATTTTTGTAATTGTTAACAATATTTAGATACCCGTATTATCACAGTTATAGTACCATTTCAGATTATAGCATGGCCACTTTTTGAGTGGGGAATAAGTAATTGGGGATTAATGGCCCCATTGCTAGCAATGTATCCTATAAGATCGACCACTATGCGGTCTCCACTGCAAAACGATCGCAGTAAATTCCTGATAATCACGACAGGCCAACTCTTCACTAGTACCCTTGTCAGCGTATCTCGATAGCGCAGGTAGGACTACCATTCTATTTTCATACCAATAAAACACTTT